GGAAAAGCAATAGTTAGGAGAAACAAGAACTAAAAGAAAAATGAGATGAGAGAAAAGTTGAGAGAGACAGGATTTAGAAGAGATACGATTTAGGAAAGAGAGGATTTAGGAGAGACAGTATTTAGGAGAGGCAGGATTTAGAAGAGACAAAATTTAAGCGAGATAAGATTTAGGAGAGACAGGATTTAGGAGAGACAAAATTTAAGCGAGATAGGATTTAATAGAGATAGGATTTAGGAGAGACAGGATTTAGGAGAGACAGGATTTATGAGAGACAGGATTTAGCAGAGACAGGATTTAGAAGATGCAGGATTTAGGAGAGACAGGATTTAGGAGACAGGATTTAGAAGAGACAAAATTTAAGCGAGATAGGATTTAGGAGAGATAGGATTTAGGAGAGACAGGATTTAGGAGATGCAGGATTTAGGAGAGACAGGATTTAGGAGAGACAGGATTTAGAAGAGACAAAATTTAAGCGAGATAGGATTTAATAGAGATAGGATTTAGGAGAGGCAGGATTTAGGAGAGACAGGATTTACGAAAGCATGATTTATGAGAGAAAAGATTTAAGAGAGGCAGGATTTAGGAGAGATATGATGTAGGAAAGCCAAGATTTAGGAGAGATAGGATTTAGGAGTGACAGGATTTAGAAGAGACAAAATTTAAGAGAGATAGGATTTAATAGAGATAGGATTTAGGAGAGATAGGATTTAGGAGAGACAGGATTTAGGAGATGCAGGATTTAGGAGAAACAGGATTTACGAAAGCATGATTTATGAGAGAAAAAATTTAGGAGAGGCAGGATTTAGGAGAGACAAAATTTAAGCGAGATAAGATTTAATAGAGATAGGATTTAGGTGAGATAGAATTTAGGAGAGGCAGAATTTAGGGTAGGTAACATTTAGAAGAGATAGGACTTAAGAGAGGCGGGATTTAGGAGAGACAGGATTTTGGAAAACATTATTTAGAAGAGAAAAAGATTTAGAAGAGGCGGCATTTAGGCGAGGCAGTATTTTAAGGAATAGGATTTAGGAAAGCACTATTTAGGGGAAACAAGAGTTATGTGAGAGAGGAATTGAAAGATAGCATCAACAGTTAGGAGAGGGATAATTTACAAGAAGCAAGACTTGAGTAAGAGAAGAGTTTAGAGAGACAAGTGTTAGGTGAGACAAGTTTTGGTAGAGATAAGAGTTAGGGGAAACAGGCAAGATTAGTTAGAATATACTGAATTTTAGGAGAAACAAAGGTATGATGAAAGAGAAAGGAAGTTAAGGGAGAGATGAGAGAAACAACAGTTAGGAGAGACTAAATTTAGTATAAACAAGAGTTGAGTGTTAGAGAGATTGAGAGAGAATGGAATTAGAAGAGAGAATTTAGGAGAATCAATAGCTACGAAAGAGAGAGAAAATCAGCGAGGTAGGTGTTGGGAGAGTCAGGAGTTGGGAGAGTCAAGAGTTGGGAGAGTCAGGAGCTAGTAATGGAAGATAAATTAAAAAGAATAATATCGAAAACCAGAACGAGGCAGAATGAGAAGCGGGAAAATCGTTGATCAGAGTAAAGAAGAAAAAATTGTTAATAAATGAAATTAAAAAGAAATTAGAATTAGCAATTAGCAGGAAGAAAAACAACAAGAGCGGTGATTGATTGGATTAAAACAAATGAATGCTGGGAGAGGGAAGGTGTGGCGGCTAACAATAACAAAAAAAAACTACAGCTTTGAAAAAAAAGAAAGAAAGAAAGAAAAAAGAAAGAAAGAAAGAAGGAAAAGAGAACGCGTTAAAAAACAAAAGAAATAAGAAAAGAGAAAAAAGCAAGATGGAAGAAAGAGGCGAGAATATGTAAGACCTTTATTGATCACCATTTGTCGTAACTATCAATAGATATAGAAGCCAATAACAGGAAATAATTTATAACAAATATGAAGATCCCAGTTTCGTTGTTTTTTTTTTTGTTATTTTTCTTCTTCTTTTCGTTACTGATCAACACGATACGACTACAAAAATACAGCCTCTGAGAAATTGCAATAAAAACTCACTCATATATATATATATATATATATATATATATATATATATATATATCAAAGATAGTATGAAGCCAAAAATTCTGTTATATATTTTATATGAAATATAGATATTCAATAATTTTAAATATTTGTTTTGTTTGCATTTATAACAGTGTGCAATATATATATATATATATATATATATATATATATATATATATATATATAGATATATATATAATACATTACATCAGTTGTTATAGAGAACTCATGAGATTGGTAATTGTATCATAAAAACAATAATTTGCAAATTAGTGTATGTAAATAAGCTTTTATAAAATAAGACATTCATTTATTAATACTGTCTTTCTGACGAAATCACGAACCTCCGAGTCGACTTTCGATAATTTTTATGAACTTTGTTACTACTGTTTCAATAATTATTGCTCTAAATTTCTATCGAGGATTTTATTCCCATAAAGTCGGTTTAACTTTACATACGTAGTTTTTTTTAAAAGTCATTTCATTCCAAACAAAGCAATAAAGTCATTAAGACGCAAAGGGTTACTTAAAATGAGAGAATATAAGGGAAAAAAGACATTGTTAAGGACAGTGAATAATAAGAGAACCGGAATTAAGAAGACATTTAAATTTTTGAAGTTGACTGGGAAGCAAAAAAAATGGAAGAGATTTCCACAAGCAAGATGCGTGATAGAAGAAACTGTTAGCATAGAACTTACAGTAACATCTATCCATTTTAACTTACAGTAACATCTATCCATTTAACTGTAAAATGATGAGACCTTGCCGCAAATCTAATACTGCTCTTAAATTCATGAAATCTAGGTACCATCTAGTTATATAATATAAATGGATCGCTCTCAACAGAAAAATGTCAGGCATTTTCACATTAGTTTTTTGTTGTTGTTGTTGTTGTTGTTGTTGTTTTATTTTACTATGATGTTCAGCCTGTACAAGACCCAAGCGCCACTCGGGGTAGTGCGTTATAGAGTAAAAGACACCGCCCCAAGAAAGGTGATAATGTCACCAAGACGCAACGGGCCACCGGAAGTGAAAGAGAATGAAAAGAAGGGAAACGGAGACCTAATCCTAAACAGAAAGCAGGCGATAAACTTCTACTCCTGTTCCAAAGAACGGGTAGGATGTGAACCGGGCGATAGACAAATTTATCTACTCCTATTGGGGAAGAAATATGTAAATAAATTTGTAAAATTTCAGAGTTTTAGGCGGAGCCATTAGAAGTCAGGACGATATGCAAATCTATTTTTTGTTTTGTTTTATTTTTGTTGTTTTGTTTTTCTTGTTTGTTTTTTTTTTTGTTTTTTTTTTTATTCTTTTTAACACCATATCCTTTCAGGCGAGTATGACGCTCCACGATGTCTATTCCTTATCTTTAAGTACGGAGTAAATAAATTTCGCGATTAGACATTTATGGAAAACAAAAATTTCGAATTTTCTTTTCTCCATCTTTTTTTTTCTTTTTTGGCGGGAGTAGCACAAAGAAAAGCCATATGCTTTTCTAACAAAAATAAGGCGTATACATTTTAGAAATATAGTTTTACACAAACTATTACAAATATTTACGGCTAGACATTTGAGCCAGTATTTTGGAAAAGCAGATTCGAAATTAATCTGGATTGCTGAAAGTTCAAACAGATTCAAAGCAAAATTTTTTTAATCTAACGTTTCTTTAAAGGAAAGGAAACTACTGACAAGAAAGGAAAGCTTAATTTAAAAATTAAAAAAATAATAATAATCTGATGATATCGAACCTGAATTGATGTTTTCAAGGACATCAGAGAGAATTTGAGTTGATCATCAGCAAACGCCAATCATCTGGCTACTTGCAAAGAAATTAACTGAGAAGGCAATTAAAAAAGTATTTAGACGGCCATTACGGCAGTGCATCGGCCATTAGTGAATAAAGCAAACCAAACTAAAAAAAAAAGGCGGGAAGTGCGGTAGAAATGAAGAGAAAATTTGTATGAAAGAAAAGAAAAGAATAAGATATTTTATTCTCTTTGCTACCCGACGTTGTATTTCCAGTTCATCCCAAATAGAGAAAAAGGCACAGAGAGAGAGGGAGAGAGAAAGATAGAGAGAGTATACATGTGTGTGTGTGTGTGCACTTGTGCGTGTGCGAAAGCGAGAGAGAGGGAGAGAGGGGAAAATAAATTCAGAACGTAGAGTGAGTGAGTGACTAAAAGACGAAGTCTTTTAAAGTAGGAGAGGAAAAATATGGTGGCGTTATTGGTTCTTTACGTCATTTCGTTTGTTTCTCGAACACTCTGTTTCTCTTATCCTCCTTCTCTCAGTCTTTCCCTATCTATCTATCTATCTATCTATATATATATATATATATATATATATATATATATATATATATATATATAGCTGACCTCATCCAGCCTTCAGACATATTTGCTTTTATTTTTTATTGCTGTTTTTCCAAAATATTTTTTAGTCTTATCTCATATCTACACACACACACACACACACACACACACACACACACACACACACACACACACACACACACATATATATATATATATATATATATATATATATATGTCTATCAAGCTATGACAGTGTCTTCATTTCTACCAATTTCTGATCGTCTGTCCCCCGCCACACACAGGCGCAACATATATGTCTCGAAAGAGAGCGACACATACACACGCATAAATATGTATGCGTGCGTGTTTGTGTGTGTGTGTGTTTTATGAGCCTCGGTGTTTGTGTACGTGTATGCGTGTTTGTCTGCAGTTTTGGTTGAAGACCAAAGAAATGTTTGTGTTCAAACACAACTCTATCAGCACAAAATTAAAACTCTTCGATAATGAGACGCCAGTAGACCATTTATGTTTAGTTTCTCCCCAGAAACCAGAAAAAATCGGTTTATACTGCAGGAAAATTAAATAAGTTTTTTTAAATTAAGAACTTTTGGTACTCTTCTACCAAACTACGTAAATTAAAAAATTGCTGCCCAAATAGATAGATAGATAGATAGATAGATAGATAGATAGATAGATAGATAGATATGAGCAGAATGAGATAGATAGATAGATAGATAGATAGATAGATAGATAGTGTGAACATAGTCATCAACATTTTCACGCATCAAGCTATCCTCAAGTATATTCAAGATTCATATATATATAAGACGAAATGCGTCGGCTAAGTTTTCCTTCTGCCTTTTTTTACATACATACATACATATATATATATATATATATATATATATATATATATATATATATATATATATATATAAAAGGGAACTTTGAAGTCAACACTGAGAGGTGACAGGCTGTTTCATGATAGACGCAATAGACAGGCCACGCTATACCTCTGATATTGAGCACTTTATCCCATAAATATAGCACTTCTTAAAAGTATATTTCTTCATATATATATATATATATATATATATATATATATATATATATATATATATATATAAGTATATGATTGGTGTATACGGAATGAATTCCAATAACCAAAAATTACTATTCTTAAAAGAGTGCTGAATACAAAAGTAGAGCAGATATGATTATTTATTTAAAAATTATAACATAAATATAACATATTTATGTTATAATTATAACATATTTATGTTATAATTTTAAAATAATTATATATATATATATATATATATATATATATATATATATATATATATATATATATATATATATATATATAATTGATAGACGCAAGAGTAAATGTATGAAACAATTTGCAAGCCTTTTTTTAGATATATATATCATTTAATTTTCACTTCTCATCATATTGTTGTTCCAAAGAAGTGGGATGTCTACATCATCTTACACACACTCTCTCTCTCTCTTTTCTTTTCCCAATCCCATTTGTCTTCATCACTTTCTCAATCTTTTGTCCTCTTTCCCATCCTGTCAACTTTATTTGTCTTTCTTTGTCGTAATCTCTCTGTCTCCTTCTCGCCTTTTTCTTTTGCAAAACTTGTTCGCCATTTTTTTTTCTTTTAGAATACTTCTTTCGATTTCTTTAATTCATTTTGTAAAAAGGCCTTATTTTTCAATTATTTCAAACATTTTTAATTCGACTAACAAACCAATAAATGCCGTTATAAAAACAGACTTAAAGCGAAGCAAATTTGTTTTTTGTAGTTTCTTTTTTTTTCGTTTAAAAAAAAAACTACAAATAAAAAAATGAAAATAAAAAACTAAAAGAAGAAACAAGCATCAATCGTTTCTCGTCTTCCCTTCCCATCTGCTCTTCTCGCTTTTTCTCATCTGATGGTCACGTGACGTTGTGTGTTCCTCATTAATTCCCGCGAAAATGGCGTCTTTCTTTTTTCCTTCTCTCTCTTATTTGTTATTTTTCTCTCTATTGCTCTTCATTTGAAAAAAAAACACCTTTTGCTGTTCATCAAATGAAAAGAAATTAACTTTTGCCAAGCCAAGTTTTCATAAAATAATTTTTTAAAAGAAATCTTTTTAAATAAAAATAAGTAAATGCAAAAAGAAAGAAAGAAAGAAAGAAAGATTTCGGTGAAAAATGAAGAAAAATAAGCAGACAAGTTTAGCCAGAAGAAAGAATCGATAAAAGAGGATGAAGAAAGACATAGAGAGAGAAATTGAGGGATGAGAATGAGAAAATTTGAATGAAGTAAGGAATGGTAAATATACATATATATGAAATTGGGAGAGAAAGTAAACGTGAAAAAAAAAAAAAAGAAAAGAAACATTTACTAAGCGTAGCTAAGATGTTGCACAAGTTCGAAAGTATAGACCACCCAATGAGGCTCTAACTCACTATTGAGTTGTAATTGATCAAGCAAGACAAGTTTTGTTAACCATTACACTATGTTGAAGTGCCCAAAGAGTGTCAATGAATATATAAAAAAATGAAAAAATAAGGAGATACAATGCATGGAACAGACTGTGATAGATAGATAGATAGATAGATAGATAGATAGATAGATAGATAGATAGATAGATAGAAACAGATTGACATAGAAAGAAAAAAACAGATTGAGATAGATAGATAGATAGATAGATAGATAGATAGAAAGAAAGAAAGAAAGAAATAGGTAGATAGATAGAAACAGATTGAGATATATAGATAGATAGATAGATAGATAGATAGATAGATAGATAGATAGATAGATAGATAGATAGAAAGAAACAGATTGACATAGAAAGAAAGAAACAGATTGAGATAGATAGATAGATAGATAGATAGATAGATAGATAGATAGATAGATAGATAGAAACAGATTGACATAGAAAGCAAGAAACAGATTGAGATAGATAGATAGATAGATAGATAGATAGATAGATAGAAAGAAAGAAAGAAAGAAAGAAAGAAATAGGTAGATAGATAGTAACAGTTTGAAATAGATAGATAGATAGATAGATAGATAGAAACAGATTGACATAGAAAGAAAGAAACAGATAGATAGATAGATAGATAGATAGATAGATAGATAGATAGATAGATAGAAACAGATTGACATAGATAGATTGATAGATAGAAAGAAAGAAAGAAAGAAACAGATTGAGAAAGAAAGAAACAGATAGATAGATAGATAGATAGATAGATAGATAGATAGATAGATAGATAGATAGATAGATAGTATTGCGAAAGAAGATAGAAGGAAATATTCAGAAAGAAAAAACAAAAGATTTTAAGTATAAAACAACTTTCTTCTTTCTTTTCTTTTTTTTAATATTACAGAAAAAAATATTTCATAAAATGTACGAGAATCGAAATAAGAAATAAAATAATTGCCGAAAAACAAAAAACAAAAAACAAATGAGTAGCTTCAAAAGAAAAACGGAAATAAAACGAAATTTAATGAAAAGGGCGAAACGAAACTGTAAAAAATGTCCAATCCTATTTTTATGTCAACTTCAGGATCACTTTTTTTCTTCTTCCGTCTCCTTTCACCTATTGCGTACATCGAAAGCACACATTTCTCTGTACGTTTATTGGAGCTCATTGAAGTATATATATGGTGGAGTTTGTTGTCTCCCTGTGAGTGATTTTTTTTTAATACCATTACACACCTATACTAATTCAGTACATCGTGTTAGCTTCATGGGCAAATGTTTTGACGAACGGAAGTCTAAAACGAAGGACGGTTTTCAGTAGAACGTTGTTCTAGATTGATCCCAAGATGCACATGATCATCAAGGTGTGTCCTTTGTGGCTTCTCGAGGCCAAAAAGGAGTGACTTAATGAAATATTATGTTACATGGTACCAGTAGAAGAAAATCTCTGCTCTATTGCATATTTCCTATCTTGTGAGTCGTACTAGAGAAAAGGGGAATGTATATTATTTACATTATTCGGACTATTGTCCTCATCTTTGTCGCCATATTTATCACAACGTTTCTGCCGTTATACGCTCCGGCCTTCTTCAGGTGGTTGGAATGTCGAACTGAACCCTTTATTTCGCTCACTGGATCTAACTAATGTCTTTATCTTGAGGACACGTGGCACAGTGGATAAAGGCGTTAGATCCAGTGACAGGACCCAAAGAATGTGAGTTCAATACCCAACTAAGGCAGTGGAGAACTTTCAGAGGGAAATTAACGGAAGATAACTGATAACTGACATCCATTAAAACATGGCACGTGGATCTAGAACAGTCTACCCCAGTGAGCGAAATAAAGGGTTCAGTTCGACATTCCAACCATCCGAAGAAGGCCGGAGCGTACAACGGCCGAAACGTTGTAATAAATATGGCGACAAAGATGAGGAGAATAGTCCGAATAATGTAAATAAGGTACATAATACCTCATCTCAGAAATATAGACAGATACTAAAGGAATGTATTCGAAGATCTCCTTCTTTCCAAGATATAAGGGACCTGTTGTGGTAGAATCCACCTAATTTGCATAGTGGAGTACCGACCATATAAATATGGTTGGTACCGGGAAGACGGGGGGAGGAATCAAGAGATTCAATCCAGAGACTCTGCCCGACTGCGACTAAGTCAACACATTCCAGGAACGGTCTTCCCAAGGATATACAAAAGACTATATGTATATATTGTGTACACTTTCTTGTTTCAATACATTTTGTTCTAAGTACATTTTGTGTTGCATTATTATTCCATGCATTAGTCAAGTTTCAACAGGACCAATAGCCCAAAATTCAAACTCCGTGTGGATAACCACATGCCAATATTAAGCCACTGTCAAGTTCATTTTTTGTGTTATCCAAACTCTGTTGCGAGAGAAATATGTAGTTTCTTTTCTTTTTTTCTTTTTCTTTTTTAGCAATTACCTCCTATGAAACTCTTTTCTAGTTTCTTGTTTCTCAGTCAAATTTTGTCTTCAAAAATTTAAATGAAATATCAACAGTTATCTACTGTCTTAATTACTCTACTTTTATTGTTCTGACACTTTAATAAGATTTTCCTTTTTTTTAATCTTTCACACTCAGTAACCCCTTGAGTTTTAGTGGCTTTAAAGCCTTGCTTGGAATGAAAATATTTTTTTTTAAATGGTGGCTAGTTGGCGGTCACGATTACTAAAGCAATTTCCTCATTCTTCCATTTTACTTTGATAGTTCGTCAGATGTTAGAATAAATCAAAATGGCCGAAACGGGACTGAGTGAATAAAGTTTTATATATACATCTACCAAACGAAGTGACACCGAATATCGTTATTTTCTGGTAGGTTTCCTATTTCAGAGGCTGCACTCTACTAAATGTTTTCTTTTTTTAATTGGTTTAATGGGCGTTATAATCAATTCATAGACAAGAAAAAACAATGAAGAATGTTCTCCTGCAAGGTTTGGAATCCCTTAGACTCGGCTTCCTTGCTAGCTTTAAGAGTAATAGTGAATAGATACTACACTTTAATCACAGCCCGAAGGTCATCAGAGGTGATCTTCTTATAGTGATTTTCTAAGCGTAACTTTAATGTTGCACAAGACCGAATGTATGGGACCCTCATTGGCTACTCAATCGTAATTGATCTATCGAGACAAGCTTGCTAACCATTGTACCGCGTCGAAATGACCAAGATGCGCTTTCCTATGTGCAGAAACGCCGGTAATCATAATACATCACTTAATACAAGATTTAGTCATTTATAGGCAGAAGACACAGATACGCTGACTCATACCAGATTTACAGATGAATTCTTCATATATATAGATAGATAGATAGATAGATAGATAGATAGATAGATTACTACTACTAATAATAATAATAATAAAGAAAAAACAACTATGTTGGTGTGACAAACAAACGATTTGCCAGAAGTCTAAAACCTTAGACAAAAAAATCCCGAACAAGGAAAGAAAAAAGGAAAATAAATACCTACTTAGATATATAGATATGAACTGACTTAAATAGAGATATATATGTATAGACACACTCACACACACACACACACACACATATATATATATATATATATATATATATATATATATATATACGAACAAACTGAAATGAATACATATGAACACACATAGAAAGATATGAACACACATAGAAAGATATGAACACACATAGAAAGATATGAACAGACATAGATAGATAGATAGATAGATAGATAGATAGATAGATAGATAGATAGATAGATAGATAGATAGATAGATTATTTGATCTACTGCTCTCTTTATCTAGAAAACAATAGAGAATGATGTTTGTATTATTTACGTTATTTACACTTGGACTATTGCCTCGTTCTTATTCATTATTGCTCACTATGTTCCCAGTGAGTGTATATGATTAAACGCAGAAATAATATATCGTTGAATTCATGAAACAACGCTTTGATCAACCAGGCTATTGTCCCGTGAGACAATTCTAAATGTAGAACTTGGTGTCTTAAACCTAATCTACCCAATCAGTATAGGTATGTCTGAGTGTAAATAAATATAAATCCGCCTGTTTAGTACGCATCTGCAATCGTAGATTTAGTGAAGTGATTATTGGACCAATCCGTGTAAACTTTTTAAATGAAACGAACATACCTGCTCTTTTACAAAATATAGACAGAAACATATAGAGGCAAATGGGAACTAAATAAATAGACATTCCTTGTTGGCAAAAAGGAGACGAATGAAACACATAAAAGAAAGAATGAAATATAAATTCGATGCTGGAATTCGTGAAACGGCTAAATTAATAAACGAAGCAAGAGAATTGAAAAAATTAAGAAAGGTCTGAACAAAAAAAAAAGCCTAAAAACGAAACGAAAACAAACAAAAAAAACAAAACATAAGACAAATTGGATTTGACAAACGAAATAAAGAAAGTCTTCAAAAAACATGGACGTTTGAAATCGTTCTTGTGCTGTTGTCATAGCAACAAGGTGAATGTCGGGTAATAAATATGGAGAGGATCTGTCAAATATCGTCGGATGTGGCTAAACAAAATTAGGAAATGGGATATGTTAGTGTGTCCATATATATATATATATATATATATATATATATATATATATATATGAACAAAAGGAAAATTTATTTATTCATATTGTCCTTTTCCATATATATATTTTAGTTATATCGCAAATTTTACACACACACAAACACACACACACACATGTATATATATATATATATATATATATATATATATATATATATATATATAATTGTATTATTTGTATGCAAAACGTACATATATATATATTATTTGTATAGACCTATCTAATACACACGCAGACAAAAGATATATATGTGTGTGTGTGTGTATGTGTGTGTGGAACTGTGAGGGAAAGGTCTCAGCCAAACCAGGGAACTGTTACAGCCCAAAATCTGATGTGTGGTCATTTGTGAGATTATACAGTGTGTGAGATAGTCGGATAGAGAATCCGAACCAAGGTGGAGAATTTAGAAAAGTGGAAAAGTTCATTCCGATCAGAGGACGGCTGCCTAACTCACGAAGCCGTTCTCATTTAGAATGATAGAGTGTGGATGAAGCCGAGAAGATACAGCTCAGTCATATATATATATATATATATATATATAATTATTTTTAAAAAATATGATTCCATCGCTACATAAGAAGTCTCATGTCTCAAAAATAGAAGCTAAAAAACCAGCTCTATTTCATACTCAAAGCGAATTTTGATTATTAACCTAATGGGTCTTTCCTATTTTTTCTATATATTTGCACACACACACAAACACACACACAGGCGCGCGCGCGTGCTCACACACACACACACGCGCACACACACACACACACATATATATATATATATATATATATATATATATATGAAATAATAAGAAAGAATAGTAAGGTTTATAATATATATATATATATGTATGTATGTATGCCATCAGGGTCACAAACTCATAACCGAAGTCCAACGAAATATATATATATATGTCTGTGTGTATGTGTGATGAGATTAAGAACAAATAGTGTTGAAGCTTGAATAAGCATGGAATAATAATAATACAACACAAAATGTACGTAACAAAATGTATTGAAACAATGAAAAAAGGTACACAATATTTACAGGTAGTTTTGGTATATTCTTGGGAAGACTGTTCCTGCAGAATGGGTTGACTAAGTCGCAGTCGGGCAGAGTCTCTGGATTCGATCTCTTAATCTTCCCTCGTCTTCCGGTACCAACCCATATTTATATGGTCGGTACTCCACTTATGTAAATTAGGTGTATCATACACAACAAATAGGAAACGTTTATTTCACTTTTATTAAAGCTTCATCAGAGATTAAATGTGAAAGATGTTAGATTGATAAACCTTTCCAATTTGTTCTTTATCTTAATCATTTCTGTCGGATTCTGATCTATATTTGATCTATATTTCATCACAACTTTATATTTATATATATATATATATATATATATATATATATTCCCCTCCCCATTTTTGTTGAATAGATATTTAATTTTAAGTTTGTGTTTGTGGTTCTTTGGTCACGTGGTATGACTTTAGCTATCGCCTATAAATATGCGTTTCTCTTTGCCTCGTTAGCCTTACTTTCCCTGACGATCCGTTTAGGTGAAACCTAGGTAGGTTTGTCTGGCTCACTGGGTGTATCTATCTATCTATCTATCTATCTATCTATCTATCTATATATATATATATATATATATATATATATGAAGAATAGATTCATTTCAACCCAACATTTTCTTACTTCAAACATTATTATAGTAGATACTCGCATTTGAAATAGATGTCCTTTTCTTATTTTTACTTTAACCAGTGTGCATTTCGTCTATCGTCCTGTACATTCATAGAAATTTCAATAAAAAAAATATGTTCACATTTTCTTTATGGACATTTCTCGAATGCACAGGTGGATAGACGTAATACAGTCTATTTAAAGTAAAAAGTAAATATATAGCATCTATTTCAAATACAAGTATCCACTATAAAAGACGTTGACAAGAAATATATATATATATATATATATATATATATATATATATATATATATATATAAAAGAACGAACATTATCTATGAGTTCAAATACCCCCAAGGAACTGTGTTCCTGTCAAACCAGACTCATAAATAATTACATCAGTTACACAACTACATGCTTATCCAGACGTCTCACGTTACACCTATCTGATCCACAGCTCCATTAGAACCCATTTAAACACACACACAAATTTACCAGACTCCATTAGGAACATACTAGTAGAAAACACAAATATATTAACTGCATCCACCTGCAAAAAAGATTAAAAAATAATGGAAGCTTTAATAAAAAAAAGAAAAAAGCCAACACTTAACAATATTAACTACAGAACAAAACCACAATGTGCTAACCGTATTCGGAAATTAAAAAACATCCCCTACCACAGACTAAGACATACACAGAACACACACACCCAAGTAAGCTGAAAAATCGAATCATCTTTGATAATGGCTAAAGGTATAGCCGAAAGCGCTCGGAAATATAAAACATTTGGACAGTTCTTACACACCAGAAAAGAAAGCCCTTGTTCGAACACAAGAAAAATTAAATAAAAAGCTTAACCGTAGTGGGTGTGGGTGTATGTGTGTGTGTATCTGATGGACTTCACATCGTCTAACACATTTATATATATATTCATGAACTTACAGAAAATGCAAAAGAAAGACATGATGACAAGGAAACAACAAATACTTATAAATTGACCTTGGACGGTGTCGCGCATGCGTACTAAGTTTTAACGTTGTCGCTCACTTCCGTTATTTATAGCATTGCTTTGAATGAAAGTCTGCAGAATGTGGTCGTCTAACCATGCCACAAAGTTTCCAGCGGTGACCATGGCTTGTGCAGCCGTTATTAGCCAAGAACAAAATTCCACATGGCCGATAAACACCATATTCCCCATATCTATCCCCCCTTTCGACTTTTTTCCTTTCAAAAATCAAATCTCGCTTGAAAGAAAAAAGATTTCAAGACGTTGCGGAAATCCAACAGAATGCAATGAGGCAGTTGGTCGCTCACCCAAAAACGGAGTTCCAGAAATGTTTCCATCAATGGACTGGAGAGGGACTACTTCGGGATTTTTGCTAATTGCGCTTACCCATGGCCAATTTCTCTACAAATGCAAATCAAAATAACTCGCCATTGTTCGGAAACAGTCCCAAATCAGTCAACAATATTACGCGGATTTTGGTAAAAAAAAAACATTTGTTAGGGAAATGGAATCGAAACGTAACAGAAGAAACGTTTCCGATATTAGAGTTCTTTTAAAATTATTGAAACCCATTCGATTTTTCAAAAAACTAAGTGGTCATCAGTGTCCTGTAAGGTGCAAAGCTACACAATTTCCCAGAATACAATTTATTTAGCTCCTCTTTTACTCTCTCTCTCATCTTTCTCTCCTCCCCCTCCGTCCCTCCCCCCCACTCTCTCTCTCTTTTATTCTCTCTCATTATCGACACACGAGCATCGACCCTCTTTTCACTGAATACACTTTTATTAAATTACAGTCGAAATTTAATTAATATCAACCATTCGAGTTAACCACTGTCGTAGGAAACTGGAGATGACTGGCGTTGTCGGGTGGGGGTACTGCAAATTCGCACCGTATGTTGGTATAGGGGTTTCTGTGCATTTATATTGTGCGTGCATGTAAGTTCGGTTGTGTACAACTAAATAGTTTCTTTGGGCACATAATTCTTTGTGTCCAAAGAGAGAGCTTGGCCAACGGCAATCACAAACCTTAACGAACATCAAAATGAATGCGTTGTTATTTGGAAGTAAACTTATACAAAAATAAAACACACATGCAAACACATACACAAAACACACGCACACACACACACACACACATATATATATATATTAAAAACATTTTTATGTTTAACGTTCTTTTTATAGATACAAGTATTTAAGTAAATGCTCAGTTTATAATAAACAGTATTAAATAACATTTACCGGCCATTATTATAAACAGAGCATTTGCCGTCAATTATCTATAAAAACGTTAAACATAAAGATCTCTTTAATAAATAAATTGTCGGACTTTGTCCATTTCTTAATATATGACGTCATTTGTTTACATTTGATACGCCATGAGCAGTTATGAATGTGCGAGATTCATGGAAGATTGAAGTTTATAAGCAGTAAATTCCAACCTTGCCAACCGAACGATACTTTGTGGCCGAACGGTCAAGGCACGTCAGCGTAAAT